CCCCCCCCCATGTAACATGTCTTTGGTTCTACTCTGAAAGTGCTTGAAGGTAAACAAAAATAAATTGTACAGGCCCTGGTATTAAGCTTTATTGCTCTTATAGTGAGATCTTGAACCTTATAATTAAATCATAATGGGGTGTGTGTATATGACTACATAAGAGCTAAGCCAAATGAAGTGTGTATGTATATTAGTGAAACTAGTTAAAGCTTTGTGTTTCTACTCAATGAAATTTATTTGTATAATTTGAAGCTATCCTCTCATTAGTTTTCCTCTAGCCAAATACTGTGCTTCAGTAAACACTAATGAAACCCAAAAGACTTCATTAAGTTTACTCCAGCAGTTGTTGAACTTGATATAATAAAAAGCATTCCCTTTCCTGATGCTGCTTTGGATAACCAGTATGGCTATTAGTATATTTGGTTGGACATTGCAAAAATATAGTATATATAGAGATTCATGCTTCTGAAATAGTTGTACTATCTTGGACTTCTTCCTCTTCCTGCTTAGTGTTTCATAGAAATGTGTCCATGTTTTGGTGGTTTATGTATCTTTAATTTAAAGAGAGTAATATAACATACCAAATTAATATAGTCAGCCTCTCTCTCTCATTGGGCACTTGAACTGCTTCTCCATTATAAGTGTCCACCTGCACAGCTAAAGTAAACTTAAACCACTTTTCTTTCTAGTTGCTTTTTTTTTTTTTTTAAAGAAAAGAAACACATGACAATAAATCTTATATCAGTAATTTTTTCTTCCCTCTAAAAGAATTTTCTAGGGGGATTGGACTGGGCCCTTAAACAGATGTGTAAATCTACTTGATAAAACTAAAGCCCTTTATAATTTATAAAATGTTGTTTTACATATATAATTTGATCCTTAAAATAATTTTGTGAGGTAGTTTTATATCATCCCTATTGAACAAATGAAGAGTTAATAGGTTGGAGCTCAGAGAAGTCAAGTAATTTGCCCAAAATATAGTAAGTGGCAGAGCTATGACTTGGACCCAGGTTATCTGTTTTCTTTTTCTTTTTTTAAAAATATATCTTTATTGGTTTCAGAGAGAGGAAGGGAGAGGGAGAGAGAGATAGAAACATCAATGATGAGAGAGTCATTGATCAGCTGCCCCCTGCATGCCCCCGACTGAGGATCGAGCCTGCAGCCCAGGGATGTGCCCTGACCCGGAATCGAACTGAGATCTGGATCATAGGTTGATGAGCCACACCGGCCCCGCCAGGTTGTCTGTTTTCTGATTTACACTTCATATTACTCCATCCTTGATAATTGGTCAAACTGACTCTGAAGTAATGAAAGGGAAAAAAATCAACTTAATAGCTTATTAACAATGTTTTNAAAAATCAACTTAATAGCAGAAATGTTTCAACACCTAGAGTTGAAATAAGGTAGGGTTCCTGGTTAGTAGTAATTAACTTAGTCATTCCACTCAATCAGATTTTAAAAGCATTTATAATGTGCCCACTACACACTATGGGAGAATCCAAAGACAGATAAGAAATGTTTCTGGGAGAAATAGGACATGAACGTTACATGGTATGTAAGCATGTTACTAACATTTTACTTGGTATTAATCAAGTAAATTGCTAAAAGGATTGAGCATATTAAATATTATTTTGTTTTTTTTTTAATCCTCACCTGAGGATATTTTTTCCATTGC